GACAGATCATGCTTCTACCTTTAAATATATACCATTCACCCAGCCTATTGTTGAGATGCGACCATGTGGGATCTGCTCAGATTTATGGGGCATCTTATAAATTAACTTGCTGTCTATCGTCAGATCTTTTCATACCACTCCACAATGTCTTATCTCATTTATTTTCTGACAACGTCTTTACTTGATCCTCATTTTACTCCATTAAACTTAACATCTTATAGCTCTTCATTACTTATTATACTCCTACTCTCTGAAGGGTACGGTTGTGCACTAAATGCACAAAAAGGTATAAAATAAAAACAACTGGCATGAGGATAATTGTATTAAAACCAAAAGTGGATATCATGATAGTTAGTGATATATCTGTAGCATTATACATTGCGAATGAATGTTGTTACCCTATGGTGTTTCCTTTATTAGTGCATTTATTAATGATACTTGCACTTACCTATTTCATTACAATTTAATGATTCACCTCAGCACTTTAATTTTTCTAAAACAGATTCCAATCCCTTGCAAAAGGTGTACTTACCTCAATATTGGTTGGTTATCGTATGCCTACAACCACGGGATGAAAACGGAACGAAGTCGATTTTCCCGCTCGACCTGGAGGACAACTGTACAATTCAATAACTATACGGCCTAATTCAGAAAATGAGTGTATTATATGTGTCGAATATTTAACAGTTGAAATACGATTAACTTGTAGACAATCTGCGATTTGATATTATATCATACTTGATCGTGCCTGTAAAAATGGCATGCATTTTCATGTAAATTTGTAAATTTATATGAAATACATTATTATTATTATTTCACTCCTTGGACAGAAGCGAGCCATTTCCACAGGCGTCATAGCACATGCGACATCAATAATTCCCAGTAGTTGTGAGACTCAAATCCAACTGTACAGAATAAAATAATATATATACGACGTAAATTTGAGACAAACTGTATTTTTTATCGCATCTACCACATTTTGTTTTCCAAACACGTTTCCTGTCATTTCATCCTATCATTTTTTCTATAGACTGTCTGGAAGCCTTCAGTATTTTTCCAAGACTCCCTCGTCTTCAGTTGCGTGTTTAAACAACAACCCGTCACTGTTTTTATAAGTTAAATTTGCACGGATATGCTTTACAGGCCGCTGGCCCCCAAAAATAGGAATTTTGATTTCGGGTAATCTTCAGCATTCTAAATAGTCCTTTTCAGCATCTAGCACTCGTGTATATTAAGTAACAGCATGACAGCTTGTCAGATGGCATGGCTGATTAATACTTTTCTTTCTGCAGCTTAAATTCTCGAACGATGTGAAAGCTGTTGTTTCCCTGACAAGCCACATATGGCAATTGAAGCATGATGAAAGACTTATCGGTCATAATATATTTACAAATTAGTCGTACATAGATTGTACCAGTGAGGTTTGCAAAGTCAGTAGACGTTTTCCCACCAAAGATGGCTTCTGAATAAGTAGTTTTAGATATGTTCATTAACAGCCCCATAAAACCAATCCATTTTCAGGTGGCATCTTCCAGAGGAGTTTAGAACTTGAGTAAGTTAACAGCCTTCCAAAGCTGTTACCAGTTTGCCCCTCGAAGTTCACGTGCGGTCGGTATTAAGCGTTTTATGAAGAACTTGCTTAGCAACCGACGCTTTTATCAAAATAGCCACCTAAATTATTGACAGCATTTTCCGTTGCTGGAAGCAGTTGTACGGTTTGAACGTTTATTTCTGAAAGTATGATGGTGATTACGTGAAACCCAGTCAAATACGCGGAAGAGCACTCATCATTCATTGGTAGATGAGAACCTCAGAAATAATAAAAGGGATATAGTTCCTACCTGACTGCTTGCCTAAGTCTTCTGAATTCTGTAGTAGCTTACCGCCTATGAGTAACTGTAGCCTTCTGCATTGAAGATAACCTACGCTCCATTAAAGTAGAAAACAGAAGCTTAGATGACTGAACACACCTCAAATTTAATAGTGACGATTATCTAAATGGGACTGAAACGTTACTTGTGATTACCATTCCATGGAAGTAGCTCGGATACAATAATATGATGATGGTCGAATGTATCCCTCAAAATTCCCAACCGATAACTGCTACCTTGCCGTGGTGGTCGGGCCTGAATGCCGCAGTGACCCAACAAGCTAAACTGGCTGGGACTCATGTCCCTGCAAGTCCTACCATGTCAGGGAGGTTGTTTGGATAGACTAAAAGCAGTTACCATCGGGTACATGGGCTCCAGAATTCAGTCGGATCAAAGGGCGTATGAACCCATATGGGTCGCCGGCAACCATGGGAACGCAGCTCCTGACGCTGCTCCGCTGCCTTGCGGATTAGACTCCAAGTCAAAGTCTCGGGGGGTGGTCCCTTAGGAAAACCACCTGCTTAGGTCTGGGCGCCCGGGCAGTATCTCAGCCCACACACAATATTGTGCGGCGCATCTTTCTTGGTGCCATATTGTACCAAGTTTTTCTGCGTTTAAATAAATAAAATAAATCCCTCAAAATTCAGTGTACTTGTTCGAGATAACCAGATAACAGTTATGAAACCAGAACAACAATAGCAGACACATAATGTATTATGGGTTCAGTGACCTAGGGCAGTGGTATGGGCTTAGCTAACCATGGATCGTGAGCAAACAGGGGAACGTAACATGAGATCGTGTCAAATGGCGAGGATACTTGGCCACGCACCTTCAGCCTAACAAAAGGATTTAAGCTATGCAGATTAGAACGCAGCACTGATAACTGAAAGCCTTGGGCTAATAATTTAAGGTAAATGAGCACCACCACACTAGTCTTCCCTACTACCAATGAAGTCACATATATTAGATGGTTGGAGGCAATCGGCAGGAAGCCTTCCACCTAGGTTTCGTGCTAGTCGGCACTCAGCAGTCAGCGAGGCGTACCTGCAACCTTGAAGTAACTCATGTCCCACCTGAGATTCGAACTCGTGTCACCCGGTGCCGCCTGCAGTCAGAGACGTTACCCCTGAGCTATTTGGGCTTGCAGTTGACCTCCTTTAAGACTTTATTGGTTACTTTGATTGTACACTAGTTAGTAACTAGTCTCCAATGAATCAAGTCACACATATTTTGACTTCGTTATTTTCTCAGAACTGACGGATTTAATTATGAGACTTTCATTCCTGTTGACAACATCTTCGGCCACAAGATTGGAAACCAAGTTCAAATTGCAAGTATAAAGCTACACCAAATAAGTCCGGCAGGTATAGTCAAGCCACTTCTGTCACGGTTAAAGGACTACCTAGCTGAAAGGAAATTTCACACTAAGGTCAATCGAGTCCGATCATCTTTGCACAGCTCGTCTTCAGGAGGGTCGCAGGGTTCTATCCTGGGACCACTGATGTTTTTAATTTTATCAATGATCTACCATGCCGTCTAAGCTGGCGACTCTTCTATACGCTGACGATGTAAAGATATGGAGGACGGTAAAGTGTCCGGAGGACTCATATAGGCTGCAAGAAGATTTAAACCTTCTGGAAGACTGGGCGGTAGCCAGTGGCATAACTTTCAACCTGAAAAAGTGCAAAGTGGTGAAATTACGCACCTGTAGGCTGCAGAGTGCAAGTTACACCCTTTGTAGTGAAAACTTGTCCTGCACAACGTCGGAATGAGAGTTAGGTCTACTTCTAACGGAAAAAATGGACATAAGCGTAAATTACACGGGGGACGTAGCGAGAGCATATGCGGTCATACATCTTACACATAAACAGTTAGATGCACTCACTCATGAGCTCTTTCTAAGGTTGTACAAACCATACGTCAGACCACACTTTGAAGTGCATAATATTATTGCACCCCACCGCTTAGAAGAGACGCCAACCTCTTGGAAGGAGTCCAAAGACGGGCGACAAAAGGAGTGGTGGGTCTCCGAAATTAGCCGTATGATGAAAGGCTGAAGAAATTAGGCCTATTCACACTGAGCAACCGTTAGCTTAGGGGGGACATGATTACTGCCTTTAAGATAACAAATGACCAGAATCACCCAAACAAAGGTGTTCTGCCTTTGAGTAGGTATAGGCTTTCTCGTGGAAATCCCAGAGGGATAGCTCACCAGAGGGCAGGGACCTGGGTGCGCTCCCACTTCTTTTCACTGTGGGTTTTCCGTCCCTGGAGTTCCTCAACGGCAGATGTAGCTTTGGCACCGTCTGTGGACGCCTTTAAGCGAAGGCTGGACAATCATGCAGCAACACAAGGACTGCGTCCAAATGGCCTATCCCCTTAAAATCGAATACACCATTCAGGGATAGACAGCTGAATTCGTCGTTTTACTTCTTTACATTCTCTCCCATCTTACTCTCCTGACAACTCCAACTACACTCATTATTATTACTGGTATATATATATATCAACTTCAAATTTAATCAGCTGTCTGTTTTACATTTTCTTCATTTCTTTTTCTGTCTGTTAGTCTGAACAACTTCACTAATTATATCTATTATTATTTCTTTTCATTTGACGACCATAACGGAGGACTAACTGGTGAAAGGATCAACTCCACTCACAGTAGTAGCAGTCTTAACACACCTCATACTACAAACCACATATAATTAACCCCAGCACTACTCCTTTTGGAGTCAACCAAAGCTACGACAGTCGAGTGGCGGGACGAGCTACGCAGAAGTTTACCGAAGATCAGGAACCTATATCTCTGAATCAAGAGGCGAGCACAAAGAAATCAAATTGGTTTATACTAGCTCGTAAAAGCGATATTGGATATTGAATAAAGCTAGAAATATAGCCTAGAGTGTATCAAGAGTATTCGAAATAAAACAAAAGGACAGAGATAGGGACTTAGGAGGAGCCATTTGACTGTCCGTATTCTGCCGTCTTACGATAAATCTAATGCACTCTAAATAATGGTTTGCCAACTTTATCATACCTATTCCTTTACTTCAGGAGTTGTCATTTAAGTAACCAAGCTAAATGAACTTACAGTTAACTGTCGAATCGTCAGTACCTGAGATGGACATTATGTCCACATCACTGGAAGATTTGAAAGAACTAGCGAATATCTTTATTTTACTATTTATCAACGTTGCAAGTGACTGTATTTCATCGTAGTTGTTAACTAGAACATTGAAGATCCCAGTTGTATCCTCTGCTTCCTGCAGCGCTTCCCTTGGCTTTTACGGCACTCGTGGTTTGGCATCCGGGTTGACTTGGTACCCTGTTCATCATGTCTCAGTCTCGCTTAGTTGTAGACAGTAATCCAGTGGTATGTTGTCAGGTAGCCCTCTAATCACTTTTTCAGGGCTTTAAGTCTAGGCTCTCTGCAAGAATCAGCTGGAGAACTGCTGTGATAGTCGGAATTCCTCTTGGCATCGCTGGATTAGCACTGTATCTTCATTACATCAGAAATAAAAGTAAGCCGCCTAACTTTCAGACCTCAGATATGTGTATTCTGTCCATTAATCCAGTAGACTTTCTTTTGTGCTTTTACTTTTCTCTTTAACTTTTCGTTATTTACTTTCTCTGTCACACAGTTTCATATTGTCTTACACTTGTTTTGTCGATTCTTCTCCTTTCTTTAGTTTTTTCCCTCAGTGTATCTTCCTCAGTATGGTTTTGACTGGTCTGAAGGATTTTATGGTGAAAAGACATGGATATTAACCTGGAACATTTCCTTCAAGATAGACTAACACTGCATTAGTCAGTGAAATAAGTCTATGCGGGAATCCGTCAAAGGTCGGAAGTGTTCTGAGACACCGGCTAAGTTAAACCATATCAGCCGGAACCAATGATATGAACGGATCTCAGGACAACGTAATATGCCACCTTTTTATAGGTTTGCGGCTGATTGTGATGGTTTCTGTAGTTCATCTCCTCCGGTATTAGTAATATGAATGTACACTGCACGAATCAACTCAGTGCATATTAAATGTAAACTTTTGGATTTTACTGCTTCGTCTCTATGTTTAATTAGTAGTCGAATTTCGACTATCGAAAGTTATTTAACTGGTTGAGACCATACAAGAGTTTTGCTTTGTAATAATATCTTGATTGACAGCGAAGTTCTTTCCAGTATACTGTTAATTTTAGCTTTAGTGGAGAAGAGCCTTAATTATCTTATTTTGCTTTGATAAGTTCTACAGTAATTAAACCGAGGTTTAACCCGTTAACTAAGATTTAGTTGGGTAGTTTCAGTAGACCTCAGGTTGACTACTATTACAAATTTAAGTGTGTTGTATGGCTGCTTTTATACATTTTCTGTAGGACAGAAATACGACACTGCAGATCTTCTGGTTAGTTGCTGAAAATTTAGTGTCTGTATTACTAGGACAGCAGGCCGGGAATAGAACTTTACATGTTGATTGTTTTCTATAACGGCGACTATGTGGAATAGGGTCTTTATCTTTGTACAGAGCTGCAAAACATTTTCAGGTGAGGTTTGAAAGGTGACAGGTGGTTGACGTTTATGTGGTCTTAAATCCTTCTTTAATGTATGAGTAGATTACATAACCTAACCAGCTTTCTAAGACTCCACATAAGCAGCGATGTGTGTAATAAAAAAATAATCTATCCAACAAGCTTGCTTTGCATAAGAACTATAGTTTCGGGTTTCCTAATAATAATGAAACCATCAACAATTCGTTATTAGACCGCCTGGTCCAAACCAGCCACAAAGCCAGCATTGAAGAATCCTTTTCTATCATCTACTGGTTACCGAATAAATTGCCAAAAACATCGAGGTACTGGATGCTCCAAACAGCAGAGGCTATTGCAATTCGCCTCAAACAACCAGTGCTCTGTGTGCAAAAGAAGCAAGTCCAGCCACTACTACTTCCCTGGCCTTCAGTAGAGACTATAAGTTCATGAATTGGTATTATTATCTTTCCTAATTTTTCTGATATTGTTTATTGTTATGTTGATGCTATTGAACTGTAATCTATTGATATTATTGATTCGATGTTATTTAAACATTAATGTTGTTAATAACACTAATTCATTCATTCACCATGATTTATATATAACTGTAGAGCCTGATGATGAAGTTATCGAAAAGAGTATTCTTTGTTCAGTAACCATTCTTTTGAATAATGAAAGTAAATATACATTTTTGAGGTTTAACTCACTGTGCTAAAATGTGTAAGTGGTTGTTTTCTATATTACAGAGCAAACGCGTGCAACAGAACTTACACCTGAGACACCTTTAGAGGCTGCTTTAGCATTAAAGCTGAAAGGAAATAAATTTTTCAAAGGTGGACAATACGCTCAAGCAATCAGTCTGTACGATGAAGGACTTGCAAAATGCCCTGTAGAAGCAGTTCAAGTAAGTAAAGTTAATAGCTTGACTAGTTAGCTCACTTCGTTACTACTGCTATGATAATTTCTGATCAAAGTAGGACGTAGTACGTTTCAGATAAACTACGTCTTCTTATTGTTTCGTTGAAATTCATAAACTGAACTAATTGCTCTAAAGTTATGGTAATTTTGTTATAAAGAAGGTTGTTCTCTACAGACCATTGCAACTTAGCACCTAACTCCCTTTCTACTACTGTTAGATGCTCAAACGTCAAAGCACCGTAATTTAGCATTTATTACGCAAGAAACATCCTTTCGGAAATCAATAAATAGTAGAAAAATATCAATATTTCCCTTCTGATAGTTGAAGTTGGGTATGTCTGTGTGTAAAGTCCACTTTAGCTCCTCAAAACACTGCGCAATTGATTTTTTAGTTACGTAATACATCACTAGTGTTATTCTAAATCTGCTCGTTTGCAAGGTTACCTAGAATTGAAAATATTATGCAACTCGGTAGTCATCTACATATACGTTCATGAAATTACCAACCATATCTGCCTGAAGGCTGTTGAAACTACATGGCCAAATCTCACTTTAGTTGCACTACAACATGATTGTTAAATTACAGTTCAGAAATATTTTATGATCTCATTGATGCTACATCGTTTTCGTTAAGGGATAAGCACCTATTAGCAATTAGCGAACGTTGTGATATGTATACGTATATTCTCCCTGGTTGGAATACCAGTGGAGTAATATGGTAGTTTAAAAATTCATTTCACAAAACTTCTGACTGTTTGAGAGTTACAACAAAACTTCGCACAGAAGTGCAACTACACTACATAGATCACAAAGACAGTAGAGAAAAAAAGATTCGACAGAACTAAAATTAGCAGAAATGTGGGAGAGAAAGAATAGTAACAAGGAAAAACATTGGGGTTTAATGGATATGGAAGGCCAAAGAGAGTGAATGCATTTGCGCCATTAAGAACGATTTGGAGCCACATTACCAACAGTTTCCAGCCATTTGTTCTCAGCATCTTAAGCACCTCAACCAAGCCGGTTGCACTTCCCTACGTGTCTCAAATTGTTAAAGATTTCATGCATTGATGGCAAGTTTTCGTCTGAGCACCTGTAAGACTTTTTCAACTTAATTCTATGTCAACTAACATTGCTTGTCGAGGAAGACGGTGTCTCGGCGTGATTAACACGTATCCTATCCATCTCGGCCTATGTAGCTTCACAGCGTTGTCAATCGATTCGCTGTCCCTACCTAGCGCTACACCTAATCTCAATATTTCCTTCTAGATTATACCACTCAACATGGGTAGTAGAACACAACTTCAATACTCAGAGTAGTACTACATTTCTGGTAATGTCAGCTTATTTCTACTTATCATTTCCACTCTGTTATTTATAATTTAGCGTGTATCTAGTTTCAGATTAAGCTGTACATTTACTGTTTACTTGTATTCATGTGTATAATAGTTTCACATTTGGAAATATTAGTATTCTATGAAGCATATCCAGGTTTAATTCTATGCAGAGCATTAATTTCAAAAACTATATTCTGAATAACTCCTTAAAACTCTGTTGGTATTGTCGAAGAATATACGCAACCTGACTAAAGATTTCCAGACATAGGATGAATCATTATGAATAAACATTTATAAGTTGATAACATGATAAAGAATATAATTGACATCTCATTTTAACCGTTTGGTAAACTATTCACAATGACTCAATTCGATCTGTAGCTCTAACTCTTGTCGTCTTTATTCAATATTCTTCCAGATATTCTTCTTAGGACTGTTTTCTACTTCTGTCCAACAAATATTTTCAGATATGATATTGTAGCCTAACAACACAATGGATCTAAACAAATTATTTTTTTATCATGCACTGTTCGACAACAGTGAATAAAATTGTGAGATCATATCCATAATCTTTTCTCGTGAAATAATTTGTCATAGTCTCCTTATTGTATAGAAAATCACCAACAGCACTCTTCAATAGATCATCCTTGATCTTTTTATTTACTGTTTTAAAAAAGTGGTAGTATTCTTATACTTCTGTTAGTTGACCAATAAAGTGGATATTTATGTTCGCGTCATCCTGAAAATAACAAAAGGTGCACTGGATACAGAACTCCGCCAGCCCAGAACAAGCTGTTTTCAGAAAAGGCAAGTCATGTACTGATCAAATTACAACTCTAGGCATCATCGTCAAACAAAGCATAGAATGGGAGTCGAACCTCTACCTCAATTTCATTGACTTTGAAAAAGCCTTCGATAGCATTAATGGCAAAATAATTTGGAAACTACTTCAACACTACGCCGTCCCCCAAGTCTTTATCAGCCTCATTCAACAGCTGGCTATATGAAAATACCACGTGTCAGGTGACCCACAACGAAAAACTCAGCGAAGCCTATGAAGTGAGTGCAGCAATAAGACAAGGCTGCCTACCTACTATCACCGATGATGTTCTTAATTGTGATGAACTGCATTTTGCATTGGACTATGGAGAGTGAGAAGACAGGAATACGCTGGACCACTGATAAGGAAATTCTAGAAGATCATGATTTCGCAGATGAATTTTGTCTGATGCCACACAAACTCGTAGGCGAAAACCAACACACTGGCTGAAGAAGCGGCGAAGACAGGACTCCAGGTGATCGTAGAGAAGACGGAGGTGATGAAGATAACCAAACCACAACAACAAAAGCATCAATCATCATCAATGGGAGAAATTTGAATGAGGTTACTTCCTTCATTGTTTCAACTACAGAGGAGATGGATGAAGATGTCAAAGCTATCCAAAATCGGAAAGGCAAGATACAATATCGTTTTGTTTTTCATTCATTGGGAAATACAAAAACCTTTATTATGATGAATACACCTTCATCAATCTGAAATCACTTTGGAAGTCTTCAACCCGTAGCATGGAGAACAAGATTCAGATTTTCAACACAAATGTGAAATGAGTTCTTCTGTATCGGTCAGAAACTTGGCGCATCACGAAGAATATTCCCAACAGGTTGCTGACTTTCATCAACAGCTGGCTCTATATGGAAGATAAAATAGCTGGCCAGGGAGAATTAGCAACAAAAAACTATGACAACAAACAAATCAAGAACCTATCGTTCAACAAATATGTAGGAGGAAATGGAGGTGGATTGGACACACGCTGATGAGAGGAGACCGTCGAATGACATCTTGTGCCAGGCCATTTGTCGAGTGGAATCCGAATGGGAAGCAACGAGTGGGTCATCCGAGAGTGAGATGGCGAAGATCGTGCTAGGAGATGTGAGATTATAGGCAATCGTGGGCCCAGCTGAAGAGGACTTCAGAGAATAGAATAAAGTTAAGATGTGTTGTTGAAACCCTATATTCCACTTGAAACCCAATGGAACAATAATAATAATATCCTTTAGAATATAGGCTTTTTTGTAGGGATTTGAATTAATCACAATTGTTAGATTTCGTCACGAACCAGCATCACTTAGAGAACCATTGGAAACCACCAAGGAGCACTGTACATGTGTTTCGTCCTAATTTGGGACTGTCAAGCATCGCACACCTGTGACCTCACCAGGGGTGGAACCTGGGGCCTTCAGATAACAAGACCAAGCTCATTGACTTTTCAGCCACTTAGAGACGTAATTCAATAGCCTGTGAATTCTTACTCTTGTTAATTGATGCTATAGAGCTACACTCAATGAGTGCCTTCGATGAGCAGCATCCACCTCACCTTGACTTGGTAGTTCCCAATAGCCAGAACTCAGTACAGCTTTAGGATATCCATCCAGCAGTAGCTAATGATCTGGAGATTGATATTTAGATTATGAGTTGTTGTTTTTTGTAGAGATTTGGATTGCTTTCAGTGTAAGACAAAACTATCCAGTGATCTCTAACTGATGTTGGCTCGTAACGGAAGCCACGCTGAAATTTCTATGCTTATTTTATTCATTTCTTTGTATTTTGGGTGAAACAAATGGCTTCAGGCTTTAAAGTTTCAGTTCCACCTGTGGTAGGAGAGCAAGCCCAACACCCAAACTCCCTCTATTCCTGAACTACTACCGTATATGCGAGGTTTAGAAGTGCGTTGGTCGGGAACCGAACCCAGACCACGTGTGTGGTTAGTAGGTGTTCTACCCTGGAACCAACGACGCATTCTTATTTATTAGAGTATTATTATTACCACAAAATAAACATTAGTGCCATATTTTTATTTTTGTTTGTTGAATTTAAAAAATTCTCTAGGAACGTGCTGCATTCTATCAAAATCGTGCAGCAGCTAAAGAGAATCAACGCCAGTATGAATCAGCTATTGAAGATTGTTCTCTTGCGTTGTCATTATCACCGAATTATTTAAAGGCATTAAATCGTCGAGCACATTTATATGAAAAATTAGAAAAATGGGATGAATGCCTATTAGATGTTACAGCGTGTTGTATTTTTGAAAAATTCAAAAATGCTGTAAGTTATTGTAACTGATGATTAGTAATATTATGTATTCTGTTTTTGTAGTTTTGTATTTAGATATATCTGAGGCGATTACTTTAGTCAATAAATTCATGTCAACCAGTTGAATTTCACTAAACACAGAAATATGGATCACTGGTGTAAGCAATCGACTTTCAGTTGAATGGAGTCCCGTATGCTAGTTCTGTTCCATCTGCCTTAGTCTTGGGCAACTGGGTAGTTTCATCAGCAACCCTCACACAAGAAGTGTGGCCCTCAGCCTTGTAATTGAATACTGACCAACAGGAAACCACGATTATGTAGTTTGGACTTGTCAATACTGAAAAGCAGTAGCCAATTAAATCATCTGTCATGGTGGAGCTAACGCGCTGTGGTTCATTGGTTTAAGCACTCAACATATAGATAATTGACGTAAGGTTCGAGTGTTACTTTATTTACTTCAGTCTGAATGGGCAACATCCTAGCCAGTGCATTACAACACAAGATAGCTGAAATATGCATTTTTTTATCGACACAGTGATTACCTTTCAGCGTATGTTTATAAAGTGTATTTTCGCTGACGTGCCTTAGAAACGTTAAATCTTCATATTGCAGTAGATATAATTAAGTAGTCATTGACTGAGTTTTCAACTTAGAATTTTGCACAGAAGTACAACACTTCAATACAAAGATAGAGAAGAAAACGCAAAAGGTGGAAAAATACATGGAGGATAATGAGGATTCAATGGAACTGGGAAACTGCAAACAGCAAATGCATCTGCATCATTAAGAACAATCTTAAGCCATACCACCACCAACAGTCTCTAGCCATCGCTGCTTAGCGTCTTACGGACCCAAACTAGACAGTTTACATCCCCCTATGTGGCTCAAACCGACAGTCAGAGACATCATGAATTGATGTCAGGTTCTGATTTAATCACTCCCAGCTCTTTTCCAACTTAATATTAATTGTTATGTATTTAAGTCGTACATTCATGAAAGTGAAAAATAGTTAAAATGAGTGAGTGTGGTGCTTACAAATGTTTTAATTTGTAAGTTGTGAATTTGAAGGTTTCCTTTTTGATCAAACTGAAATCCCGCAAAGTTGAAAATAGCATGGAATGCAATTTCATCATGCACAACAGGCGATGAGTCATACGTATTGTGTGTGGGAGCTCGTATTACTACCTGGCTGCCCAAATCTTGGTAGGTTGTAACCACCTGCTGTTTGGAAGTCGAGCGCCGAGACCAATGCACCACAGCTACTCAACGCTCACATGCATCGTTATGTACTACGTAATGAATTGCACCTATTCAATAACAGCCAATTATATACTGCCTGACCGCACCAAAAATTTAGTGGATCGATTAAAGTTCAATCTTAAATCTTGAGAAAATGTATAACTTTTCTTTGTACAAAATATCATGAAAGGATTGCCGTGAATTATTTTAATTACTGTATTTTAAGGTAGTTGTTAACAAATTTTAATGAGCCTGCGAATTGAGATACAATAGAGTAAGTTTCCGTACAGTTTAAAAAAAATTAATATAGATTAAAATCAATAATCGATTTAATTACTAATAAATGGTCATCTGTATTAATTAATTCATCTAGGGTCAAGGATATTAAGTTGAGAGGAGTGAGGTTCTCTTTTCTCTCATTGTCTGCAACTTAACTAATATGAGTCTCTTTTGTGTGGGTCGGTTATTCATTGGTAATATGCACGCCATATATTTCAGTTTTTTCCTTGTGATACGCCCATACCTTGAGTGTTCTTTTTAATTAACCTGCGAAAAGGATTCCATATATATATATATATATATATATATATATATATATATATATATATATATATATATATATATATAGTTTTTCTTTCTGTCTCTCCAATTTCCATATCTCCGGTATAGGTGTTGTGTCATTCCGTTTGCACGTGTGTTTTATTGAATCGATAAACAAAGCTTCAGTGACTAATCTCTCTCTGTTTCCACCTAACTATATTACTTTTTAATACTCTCACTCTGTCCCACTACCCTATTTTGTGATTACATGCAAGTGAATGCAGTGCAATAGCTGAGCTTTTTTCTAGGTTATTTAACTAACTTAGCAGGGTCAATTATTCTAGGTCTAGCTAAATTTTTATGTTCCAATAATCTAGTTGACCCTGATCTACTAGTTTGACCTATGTAACTGATCTCACAGTCATTACATGGTATTTGATAAATTATATTATTTTTCTTAATTGGATCTATCGGTGGGTCCTTAAGCCGACAAGGTTTATCTTTGAGAGAGTTGTTTGGTTGGTTTAAATGCCACCCTAACTCCAGCGTCATTGAGAATTCTCTGTGAGGCCTTTGATGTCTCTTCTCAATACGGCAATGGTTCAAAGGATTTGGACTTTATATTATTTTCGTCACTTTTATTGCTAGTCTTAGTTTTTCTATGGCTTTTCATATGTTTCTGAATAAATTCTGCTGGGTAGTTAGTGATTCACTAGTAATATTTCCTTTATTTGTTTGATTTTGATTATTTAAATCTTCTGGCTTATTAAAGAACGAAAAAACCTAATGCACTTACCATTCTAAGAGCCTTATGTTCTCAACTATCCATAAATATGTCTGCCACTACTGGGGATATTGGTGATCCCATTGCCACCCCATTCGTTTGTTTATATAGTTTATTTCGAAATTTGAATACAGTGGAGGTTAGACATAACTGAACACCTAATATTATTTCATCAACCGGGAGGAACTTCGTAAAGCCGTATCAGGCCTGCTTTTTACACCACACATCAGCATTATTTACTCCACAATGTTATGCCTGAATGAATGTATTTATATTTATTTCCTTTTCCCTATGCCCTTTTTTATATTATAGGATAATATCGTTTGTATGGACCAGATCCTTAAAAAAATTGGACAGCAGAAAGCTCAAGAAGAGCGCGCTAAATTGTTACACGAGCTACCCTCAGCTTCATTTATCCGTAACTATTTAAGGTGAGAAAAAGTTTATAGTTTTTTAAAAATTATTTTGTAATCATGTATGCCGAGGAAAAAGTCACAACAACATGTGAATGACATTATTACAATTCAGTAGTCATGTGTTTCTGTGTGTTAAAATACTATACCTTATAGTTTTAAAGCTAATGATACCAATTTTCATCTCAAACGTTGTATTTGAACGTGGTTAACCAACAACCGAGTCATTGGCAGCAAGAAGCATGGTATCGGCAAGATGGTCTGTGAGCCAGATGGTACGCCAACTAACAACCTGAAAAGACGCCTACAAACGACATCGACTTACTGTGCGATAACATGCAGGCTGCCCGAACCTCATTTAATCAGTTGGCTATAAGTGTCTGTAAGCATGGTATGTGCTTTGCTTCGTCTAAATAAAAAGTATTGTTGCAGAATTGTAAGGAGCCTGTACCTGCACTCACCCTTGCAGGTGAACCGCTTGGAGTTGTCGATAATGCGTGTATCTGGGTAGTTGTGTGAGTGCTTGTGGAGGTGATGAAATCTCTAACTGTACGGTGACGGCGAGGGCGGCATACGCCAACTTAGACCAACTCTAGCGGCGTCGTGACGTTAGTCAGGATGTTAAATGTCAGGTTTACAGTGTTTTTTCAGTGCACGAATTCTTCCTCTAGGCCTATAAAACATGGTTTCTCCGACCTGAAGTCGTCGCTACCTCCGTAGAGTTGGTTGCTTCTGGGGTGCGGTAGCATGTGTTTGGGTGTGGTGGAGATTGTTTTTCAATAAGTTTTGTCATTCTTGGACATGTGCCACGAATGTCACGCCAGCAACTCATACTGTCCGCTGTTTTCAACCCATGGCATTGGGTCAAAAACGGAGAGGCGGTCAGCCCATGAGGTGATGCGTGTTAGAATGGAGGATATTTGTGTTAGGTTAGCATCTGTTGGTGCATCACGATTCCCTGGGTATGGTCCGAGATATAATTTGAAAGAGTCGCTCGTGACGTCAACTATGTCTGAGAATCATAATCAATGACGAGATGCTTTCAATTTCTTCTTTCTTTCCTTTCTGAAAGTAACCTAAAGTAATGAATCATCCCTTGAGTGCTCTTGATAAGTATGCTCACTTGCTATATGGATGTCCCTCACCTATTCTATGTCTGTTTTGTTGTTTCATTATTTTTTATTTGTTGTATCTCTTGGTGTTCATATTATACCGAATTTATATTAAACTAAATAAAACATTAATATCTGTAGTAACCAAATTCTAAAAAACAATTTCGTTTTGCTTCCGAAGGTACTATGATTGGTCGATTGATCATTGATAGCTTCTTCATAAATGAACTTCTGTCTTGAGATATAAGTAACTGGAATTTTGACGAGGAGCTGTGACAATCGATTAAGTAAGGTTGTACAAGTAGCTTACGACATTGAATGTCGGTTACGGTGTATAGAGAAATTATGAAAATAATTGAAAACCGTACATATCGTTCAGTTTTCATGAACTAGTTTGATTTTTATTTGGTTGTGATGGCTGGTAAATAGTAGAATCCAAGATATGTATTTTGTTCTATCTGGGGCTCATCAGTAAAGTTTTCCTGTTCCCCAGTGAGTAATAGTATACACTGAGACTCAAATCCAGTACCCATTGCTATAAACGCTATAGCATTATCCACTGGACCTTCAAACATTGTTGAAACACGTCTATACTACGAGCCGATATCTCAGCATAGATTGAGCATTTCAGTTCAATAGAAGTCAATCAGCAGGGAACGAACACGTTTGCAGGATAATATACGAGTTGGTTTTATTTCGTGAATGCCTATCAGCTACATACAACCTAAACAGCATCAAAATATATGTAACAGGAATCCGCCAAGTAAAAAAAAGGCCGACTGGTATTCATTACCTACCCTGCAAATGTGTGTTCGTTCTTTCTGTGTTCAAACTAATCAGGGGAACCAGTCGTATGAAACAAATTAACTTAAACAATTGATTAGTTTTCTTATTAGTTTAGTGAATTGACCAATAGATAGGTCACCTTTGATCGGTGATCTGTAAATATGCATGCGAGGTCAACTTTCACTAAGATGCCATAATAATAATAATGTCTTTTCATATGATTCTAATTGTTTGTTATGTTGGTCAATTGTAGTAGAGTCCTGTGATTCTAGACTATGTGATTGATTGATTGATTGATTGACTAGCTAGTGTTCCATTCACATGATATGATCACTCGTGTGCGCTGTATATTTTTAATTTAAAAAAAAGTATGATGTGACTCAGTTCTCCAATGCTATTTTTGTATTTACTAGGCTACGATTAATTATAATATGTGTATGTGTGTGTGATTGCTTATGATACTAGTTGGTTGTTTAGGCTGGAGTAAGTGGAACGGGAGATGAAATATCTGCATAAGTTGACTCATCTTTTGACAAAACAATAAGATGATGTAATCCATCTGGATGATATAATATAATGCTCAAAACCTTTCGAACAATCTAATCACTTACGCACATGTAGTTGTCATAGAAATTTATATGAAAATAATAGTGTTAAGGGATCACAGAATAGACATAGACAAACCAAGTTAAAAAGGCTATATATGAAGGTCAGCATAACAATGAAGATCAGTAAACCAAAGTTGTTGCCAGGGTTAATAGTACAGCTATCTTCATATCGAAACAATTTACCAAGGAAGGTGTATTTGCGATGACACATTGTTTTTGGGACACAAAGTTGGTTTAAACTTCTTAATCACCTAGAGCTTTCACAAACTTTAGGCTCTACGCCCTAAACACATTTTGTGGTTAGGTTTAAAAGAAGTGTAAACACCAATTTTATGCCTTATTTCTATAATATGTTTCGCAATGGAAAAGCCAGTTCGTTTGTTTTCACTATGAATTCAACCTACTTCTGAAACACTTACTTGTAGAGATCGATGAGTACTCCCTGTGTGTGTGTGTATGTGTGTGTGTAAGCACATGTACATTTAAACTGATAGATATAATGGAGTGTGACAACATTTTTCGTATGTTCTAAGGGTTTAAATGGATATATAGGTCTTATATTCCCAATTATTGGGATCTTAGTCTTTCTGACCACAGCATTCAACCTGTCAAATCTCTTTCCAGCACACAAGTCATCGACCTTTGTTCGTGTTAGTCCTAGTGTGGTGAGAGATGGCTGCTAGCCAAAGTGGTAGACAGTAATTAACGTCAATGTTCATGTCTCAAATATTAGTCATGTGAAAACAAGGTCAAAGATGGACAGCAGACTTTACGTAGGCGGATACAATTAGCAGATAGATCATCTCACACTCAAGAGACAGCAACAAAGAGATGCAAGGTTAACTTTCTGTGAGAAACAACCAATCAAAAGACCATTTTCTACTAACAATAATATACATTAAAATCAATAAATATGTGTTGATTTTCCTTAATAAACAATCTGTTGCCTGACCCTAACATAGTGTAAACGAATTACACCATGGCAGTAAATACGGTTAGTGTAGCTGCTTTTTAAATAACTTTCCTGGCATGATAGTGTAGTGAGAGCTGTCTACTAGCCAAATTGGTAGACAGTAATTTACGTCAATATTTACGTTCCCAAGATTTGTCGTGAGAAAATGTGAACAAAGATTGATTCAAAACCGACCACAGCAGACTTTGCGTAGGCGGATGCAGTTAACATATAGATGATTTGACATTCAAGATACAGTCACAAAGAGATGAAAGATTAACTTTGAGTGAGAAACAACCAATCGGAAGACTGTGTTTGTTTGCTTAACTATCCATAATAATGTACATGAAAATATATAAAGATGCGTTGATTTCCTTAATAAAGGATCTGTTGCCTGGCCCTTGTCTTCTGTTGTTACAATAGGACCTGCAGAGACATTAGATCTAGTTAGTTTAACTTTTCGGATCATAGGAATATGCAAGCACGGCAATGCATCAGCTATCCATATAGATGTATATATGGTAATATTAGGTAAAAAGAAAGCCCATTTACTGAAATACTATGCACTATTATTTGTTCTAAGGTTGAAGTTGGTTTTTTTTCGCCACATCTTCTCACAGTAAGTCTTCTCCTTTTTGTATGAAGTTTTTCTAATTTCTTTTTCCTCGTTCTTCTGCTCCATATTTTTTTTCTAATATAGCGCTTTTGCATGTAATCCATTCGTTGCTATAAATCCACAAGTATGTAAAAAAAGTTCCAGATCTGAAAGTACAACTAACGGTACAACAGCTACCGATGAGCATGTATCATCAGATAGTTCAATTATTATTAATGATAATAATTTATACGATCCATTAAATTATAAAGAACCTGTTCAATCAGCTCTTAAAACGTTAAATGCATCATTGGATTATATGTCTAAAGGTGAATATGCTCAATCAGCTGAATATGTTATGAAAGCTGTTTCATTATTTGAATCTGTAAGTTGTGTAAATGTATATTTTATTATTATTATTATTACTACTTGTTATTCATTCCAAGTGGAATATATATGGCCTCTGTGATATATCTCCGATGCATTCAGCTCTCTGACATTACTACTACTACCCACAAGCTTTCAAATCCCACTTGATATGATTTCAGTGTCAGCCATGGACACCCAACAACACGTCACTTTCCATGCGGGTTCTACTGGAGGGCCTGGCTTGTGGTGATATCACTTCAAGGTCCCTTTAGTGTATGTTAAATCCACCTCCAGTTCCTTCTGTATATTTGTTGGTTAGTTTGTTTACTACCTGCCGACAAGTATTAATGAAAGTCTACAACAGCCGATTAGGAGAAGTACTTTTTGTAACAGGCTAAGTCTGTGGACCATATAGAAGCACTGACTAACTTGATATATGTGTTAGGAACGTTGATATTGATCCCCTGGTGCCAAGTGGTGTGGATCTTCACATCGGTTTTCAGTGTTGACCAGTAGTCTTCTTTTTCAGATCCTGGCTGACTTCTATATCCTCCTCCATGTCACCTGTATTTGAGAATATGGTGCCCATATGAGTGAAGGATATACCTTCCTTTTGGTTCCTCTCATTGATAATGAGTAAAGTATTGGTTGTTGATCAGTTTTCTTGATCATCTTTGTCCTGTGTATGTTCACCTGAAGTTCTTTCCTGGCACGACTCATAAGTCATCCACGAAATCTAGATCTAAATTCCTTTTGCATGTCCAGCATATAAGCCTGATGACACTATCCAGTTGCTCAGGTTAAAACAGGTGTTGTTGACCTCAAACATGTGACCCTTTGGCTGAAAGGTAATCACGTAATGGTTGCGAAGAATTTCTAGCATTTTAATGACAAATTAATTACACCTCACAGCCGTCATAATTGATTTTAGGTTACATCACCAAAATTCCCCAACAATTTCAGTTTAAAATATTTAGTGGAACTGTAGCCACAATATGATTCAGATGGAACAGTGAGTAACTTTATGAATCAGCATCAGATTTTAGTTTTGATCGTCTCGAACTTTTTCAATCCTAGTTCTATTTTTAAGTGATAGTGAACATTTTGAAGGTATGCCTTAGAATACACAATTACACAATTCACTGACTTCTTAACACCAGAACTATTGAAAGAAATCCGAATGAGTACTAACATCCCCACTCAATTGTAGTATATGAATATTATGTGCTTATTAAAACTGTTTTATTTCCGTATACGGTTGACAATAAACTGACAGAACAGAACGATGATATCAAGTTTTATCGTGGATTGAAATCAGTTAGAGAACCATTGAAACTGGCGGTGAGAAGTGGACGGCTGCTTCGTCCCAATGTGGGACTCTTCATCAGCATGCGCCACTAACTCATCCCACTGAGTATCGAACCCAGGACCTTTAGGTTATGAGACAAACTCGTATACCATTCAGCCACTGGAAAGGAATCCAGTAGCCGGCCCATGAGTTCTAACTTGTGTCAGTTCCTGATATTTATCGCCAATGCCATCAGCGATTGTCTGTCCTCATACCCCCGACCTAATGAACCTCACTGATCACAATTTTTTTCACTGGAACTCCAGTCAACTTCGTCCTGTATTCCGCCACCAGTGAGCATCAGATTAATTTCCAGCGTCAGTTTTTAGCTTTTTGATTGGTTTCAAGTTTGATTACGGATTAAAACCAATCAAAGGCCCCGGGAACTAACACTTGAGAATAATGATATCCTGTCTCACTCAGTGGTAATCAATTAGAACTTTGTTTTGTAAGATAGATTTCTCATGTAAAAAGCTATAAAAGGTGGTAATGCTATCCATACACCCAGGATTAAAGTTGCTAGAGTAAGATTTGAAACCTGAGACTAACCAGATCAATCTCTCTCTCTCTCTCTTTCTCTGTCGCTCAGCATTTTCACAATTATATACATATATATTTTCATTATCCTTCACATCTTCTTATTATTGTTGTATATTTTAATAGGTGCTGTCTGAAAAGTCATTTGATAGTGATGCCAAAGATTATCTGATCTCTCCGGTGGGTGATAAAAGGGACACATTGAATCATGATCTAACAAAACCTGGCAACGGTGATGATGATGATAATGATGATGTTTCTCGGAAAACAAACGGTCATGACGAAAACAGCAACACCGAGGAGGAAAATAATACTGTCACAAAGCCTGGGACACCACTAGCCACAAACCCCGATGGTAATGATACCATTACTTGTACTAGTGATACGGAGACTAGTGAATCTGTAAAAGCGCATATTAAAGAAGTATACAATCAAGCCTTATTATTACATGCAACTTATCAAGCATTAGCTGGTCGGTCTGAAGAGGCAAAAGAACGCTTTCAAGCTATTGGTGCTAGTGATTCAGGCGCTTCGTTGTTAGTTCGTGTGAATGCACTAATTAAGTGCGCTTGTCTATCAATGTCTGTTGATCAGGTAAATTGAAAACATACAAAAGAACAAATTTTTCCCATTTTTGTTTGCAGATGTTTATTTTTTTTTCAACGGGTATGTTGGTGAGATTGTCTGAGATAGAGTTTTGGTTTGCCAGAGTGGAGTTGTGGGTGATTGATGTAGCCTCTCGGCTTCCAACCGGTTGGGTGGTCATGGGTGTGAATCCCGCTCCACCTACCATCGAGATTTGGGCAGTCAGGTAGCATAACCAGCCCTCACATACAATAGATGTGGCTCATCGCCTGCTGTTCATGGAATTAAAATTGGTTGCTGAGTCACATTTCATATTATTTTTCATAGCTTTCCACACCGTTGTTGATTTTGTAAGTGATGATTTACAGTGGTGAAATGAAAATCTGGGTCACCGTGTGATTCGAAACATGGGTAGTCTGGAAACCACTATTTTTTTCGTACTCTAGTCGCTGCTCAGGCCATTGTCCCATCGCAAATATCATCACGGTTAATGTCCAGCTGTCATATACGAATGAGTCATATGCTGCTCCCTGTTTGTATTGATTTTGGGATTGGTCAGCTTTTTTTCCCAACAGTAATAGTGTGAAATAACTTATATCCTTGACCTTTCAGTTTTCCTAGTATAAGAGAATGTAAACTGGAAAACTTAAATTCGTTCTAATTTATTCATTTCCTGTCGCCGTTATGTTTATTCTTCTGTTCGCTTCGTCTTTGTGTACTACCTAGAAGTGCGATAACTTGAGCTGTTGTGCTATTTTGCAATTTTCTGTCTTAATCTACCCGTTTTGGCGTTTTATATTGCTATTTGAGTGATTGGAAAACGTAGTCTTAAAATCAATGAACACAGGTGTTCTGTGAATGATAAAGTGGTGGTATTCTCATGTGAAAACTTATGCAGTGCGAATATTCTAGGTAATTCCTGCTTTACCGCTTTCATGATGCAACGGTATTCCTCAAAAAAGTGAAAAGGCGGATTCGATTGTCTAGCGCTTACAACCGGACTGATTGACGAACTGGTCTACCTAGGGAAACTAGAAAACTAATGGTGTACATGAGCTCAAGAATCCAAAAGGATCATCGGATGGCGAATGAAATGGTTTTGGTTACCGAAAACCATAGAAACGTAGCTCTTGACACTGCTCTACTGTCTTGTAGGATCAGACTTCAAGTCTAAAGCACGGAGGAAGGAGACAGTTCGCCTCTTAAGACAGCCACTTGCTTTGGCCTGGGCATCCGGCTAGTATCCCAGCCGTCGCACAAACTATGAGATTTTGTGTAATGCATCTGTTGGTGCTCATACTGTTCCAAGTTTGTGTTTGAATTATATACATGTGTATATATGCAATGTAAAACACCAAGAACTACTACTGCCTTCGATTGTCCATGTTATTCTACATGTTCAAAACGAACATACTCAACGTGTTTTTCACTATGTATGGTCTGCTTAAATCACACGTGAAGACTATCTGAATTTCCATCTAGCATAATATATCAACTTTTCTTATTGTTTTGATCATGCGAAATTTGTCTTTGGACAGCAGCATGTACTACTTGTGACGCTCATTTTTAATCGGGCTTTCAACCTACTTCTGTACACTTCTCAGAGGAAAGTGTTATCCACTAGTTCACCACTGAATCATGAGAGCCATCTCTTGTGCAATAGTTATCAGTTGTTATTTGCTCAAATTAATTTTGGATTCCCCTTTGATTGACTATTTTAGAGCGAATTAATTAATCTGTGTTTGCATGTCAGCTCCTAGTATGGGCGTTTTGATTTCTGAAGATCAATATGGTGTTATTTGTTTAAGAATACGGCGTTTGAAACAATGGATACTAGTGTCTCAGTAGTGGAACAGCATTACACACCATTCACTCACTGGGGATTTAGGTGCACTCAGCTGATGAGTTTCAAATAGAATGAAGTGCACTGCTAGCCACCAGATAGTTTTAATATCTCGTTGACATTATTCAATTCTAAATTGTCTTTCAGCCAGAAAGTCATGGGTTTCAATCCCGTGCAACTGTTTGGTATCATCAGCTCTCACACGTATTATATTTGGCACATTGATTGTTATATGAGATATCTGTCTGGATAACCAAATCTCGGTAGGTAAGTAGGTGGGTAGACAGGTGGGGTTCAAATCAGTGGTCCAGTCACTAGTTGGAAGTTGACAACCTAGACCAATGAGTAAACCAAACATCCACATAAGTTTTAATAATTATTCCATCATAGGCTTCAGTTAACTGCGTCATCCATTCACACGTTACTATGTAACCCTCATACTCTGATCTGTAAAATATGCGAGATACTATTCGTTTATTTTTGTAAAAAAATTTGTCCTACTTGATATGCCAACGGAATTTTTATTGTATGTCGTTTTCCTCCCATTATATGTTCATGTTTCTTTCCCCCCTCCCTCGCATATTTAGGATGTTGCCGCATGCCTGTATGACTTTCAGCGTGCACAAAGTGCTTGGTCTGAATGTCCAGATGTTTACTTACATCGTGGTCAAATCAATCTGTTATCTGATCAATTAGATGAAGCTTTGCATGACTTGAATATGGCTGTGAAATTGAAACCAGAGTTTTCAGTTGCTCAGGTTAGTTTATTCACGTTTTTTTTGGTCTAGTAATATATTCAAGTGTTTTATGATCGTTTGTTTTGTATGGACAAGAATCTGATGATTGCCTTCAGTCGTATCACACATTTCGTGGTGATATAAACCACATTTATCATAAACTTGATCGATTAATGTGAATCAGCATTTGCGACTAAACAGTATCACAATTAGTGTAAGTAGTAAGTGTTCAATGGTACAATATGGTGAGTAATATTGAGTTCAGGAGTAGAGAGTGGTGGGTAAGGAGAAGGAAAGTCAGTTGTGAAGCTATATCGATTAAGATGGTTAAGATACATATTGTGCATAAGCAGTCATCGCCCCCCTCGACGAGCAGTGCTAGCCAACATGGGATTAGAAGAAAAGGTGGTCAAACCAGAAGTTGGCACCAATCTATGAAGTCTTCGATAGTTATTTTGAGCCACTTAAGAATGTGTAGGCTGCCTGACTGAGGTCCTCGGGATGCTAAGAACTAGCGGTTGGCGATATGGGTTGAAATCGTTGTTATTGGCTACGATCCACTAACCCTTTGTGGTCTCCCACATCCATGAAACCCTAATGTTTTGCTATGCTGCTATTCTCCCCCTCACATTTCCGTCCATTATGATAATTTCGAGTCCCTTCTCTTTTTTGTCTACCTTTGTGTGTGAAATGTGGCAAATTGAACTGGTGCATTTCTGTGCTAAGTTCTGTGTTGAAACTCAGTCAGTAAGCAGTAAATTGTGCAGAATTTTTGGAAACTAAGGAGCAACTGGACTGCCTGTTTCTCCCTAGTTTAAGACTCTTCAACAGTGCGCATCTACCTAGGATCAAACTCCGTGACCTTGGGGTTATGTGATGAGCTCATTGATTGATTGTTTTACCGCTTGGTTGAAGTTGTATGACATGTCATTATTTGCTTTGGTATTACGGTTGAAGAGCTAGGTAATAGTATTAACATCAGCGTTGAACACAATTCGCTAGGATTCATTAGCCCAGTACTGAGTTGTATAGTTATTTAATTTGAACTTGCGTTCGCCATAGCTCCTGTGTGTATGTAGACAGGCTCGCTTGATCCCGTCACTTCTGTTTACCCTGTATCATCGATGATACTCCGCAGACACCTTAGAAAGATATGAGGTGTGTTGGTGTTGATCTGTTGTCTGTAGAAAAATGTCGAGTTCGCAGATGATATTGTCTTACTGTTCGCCAACATACAGGACCCTCTAAATCGCACTTAATCAGTTGGAAATTAGTGTGTAAATATGGTATGTTCTTTGCGCCAAGTGCAAATTGCTGTTGCAAGATTGGCAGAAGCCTGTAACTCTACTCTCACCCTCGCTATTTAATCGCCGGAATTAGTTGATATAAGCTCGTGTATCTAAGTAGTTGTGTGAGTGCTCGAAAAGGTGTGATAGATGAAATCTCTAACCGTAGAGTGAGAAGCAAGAGTGGCATGCGCCAACTAGAACCTCCTCTGTCGCCGTTACGATGTCAATGTTCTTATCAAAGATTTGGTTTACAGTGAGGACTTTGATCGTAGTATGGAAGTCAGGATGGCACACACCAACCTAGGAAACCCTGTAGTTTCGTCGTACCCTCAGTCTCAGCTGTCATAGGTCAGGCTTACAATACATCAGTGGGTGAAAGTCTTCTGCACCTGCACTAGCTAACGATATGCACACAACTCTTTGTGTTCGATCATTGCAGTATCCCTATAATTGCTTGAATCCTCATTTAAGTAAATGTGAGACATGACAGCATGTGTTTAAGCAAGGTGGTTATTTAATTTCAGTATATACCGTCATCTTCGAACATCGAGTTCAGTGACGGAAATATGCACTGTGAATGTTCATCTCAGTGGCACCCATACCGATCACCGTGAAAATAGGTGGAAAAAACCATGAGGTGGTCAGCTAATGGCGTTGTACTGTGGGATGAAGGATACTTGTGTTTGGATGGCATCTGTTGATGCATCACGACACTCTGATTGCTATCCGTGAGATCATCCGAATCAGTTGCTCATGACGTAGTCAAAAATCTTAATCAATAGTGAACATGATGCCATCCCTCCTTTTTTCTCCCTCTGAAAGTAACATGAATTAGTGAATCATCCTTTGAATTTGCTTGATAAGGCTGTTTGCTTGTCCCCATGATTATACTCGTCAGTTAACCGCCTATTTCTCTTTCCTTCATATTGTTGTTATGGTGTTTTCGTGTGACCACTTTCTGGTACCAATAGTCGGCCAAGTTTAAGTTAAAATGCAATATAGTAACGCCTTCTTTGCGTCCTGAGTAGGACGGCTGTAGTTCCCAGCTTCATGCTCAATCTCTCCTCTTGGATTATCGTCGCATAGCCACCGAGGTTAAGGAGAGTAAATTGGCTCTGGGTGTCGAACCGGGATCTCCCACATAAACTGGCGAACATTCTACCATTGAACCACTGACGCACACAGTAATGTCCTCATTTCATACTCTAATCATAACACAAAATTATAATTCTCTAATATTTATTATTTCCGTTAATATTTTTTGTTTACCGTGTATAATAGGCTCAACGGTTGTATACTCTTTATCGATGTGCATTGAGTTCTGGAGATATGAGTAAAGTGAATTCTCGTGTAGATGAATTTCGCCGATTAGTGAAAAAGTATCCCAGTTGCCTTGAAACTCATTCATTATTTGCTCAGGTGAGTAAGACAGTGTTGTGATTTTTGAACAGTATATCATATAAATAAGCGCTTGTGTATACACATTCCCTGAAGTTTAGAAGTTTGAAAGCTGAATTATTTTCATAGTTTGTTAGTAAAGATGCAGTTGTCCGGAATAACTTTTTTATACCCTAGGCTAGGAAGCCCCACAGTCTAGCATAGCTAAGATGACACATACTATAGACGTCGCCCAGTCCCAGGCTAAAGTAAGTTGGGTTGAGACTCGAATCCAAGACGTGTAAATAAAGATCGAGTGCTTAAGACAATAAGCCACATTATCAGAAGTAAGACAGATCACTTGAGTATGATGGATCTCAGAAAAATGTTATGTCAAAGTCGTGTTGAATTATTACAACAGACTATCACTAAAGTCTCAATGTCATTAATGATACTGGCCTGATTTGAGTAGGCACTTGACTTCCAACCAATGTGTTAGAGATGTGGCGTTTAGATAGTCAAATAGTATCAGCAGGGGTTTACTAACCACCCCATTAAATATGCATGTATAGTTGTTGTGTAACATCCTGAATATATTGGTGAAGTCTATTATTGAGACAGATATGTTAATTAGGTGGTGAATTCCTCTGGTTTGCGTGTGTTCTCAGTTGATTCGAAGAACGAAATTACATCACCAAAGGCACACCAATGTTTATATATACGCTTTAGTTTTACAAGAGGGAAATCAGGAGTCCGAATGGATCAGTTGTGACGTCTCTGACTGAAGAGTAGCATGGGATTGAATCTCGTAGGGAGGGGGGAGGCAACAGATCTTGCTAGGTTGTAGAGACTCCTTGTTGACAAGTGCATAATAGCACGATGTCTGGGTTCCGAGTTCCCTTTGGATCGCCTCCAAACTGATATCAGTCTAAAGTGCACCACGATGGCTGGTCGTCGAACTTGCTGGCCAGTTGCGAATTTCACTGATAGAATTATTGTCAGCCCTAAAGGCTAAACAATATAGCAGTGACTGATCACAGTGAGCTATCAGTGTAAAGTTTCTCCTAATATTTGGTTCGGCAACATTCCAAAAAGTTGTATCGTTAATCATTGAGACAATGTTTTGCATCAAAGTATGGCTTATTGATCTAGACAACCAGCCAGTTCGGTTTACGGAAACCGTTCCATCTACTTAAGGTGAGAAAGCTAAGGAGTATCCTCATCCGTCCCATAATAAATGTGATACCTCCTAATCAAGTGTATGACTTTGCATATATTCGACTGTGTTTAGTCCTGTGTTATGTTGTATAGATTTTTCAAGTTAATTGAGCCCAAGTAGCTCATTGGTTGTAATCTCACAGAGAAGATCAGTTCTTTCTTTCAGATTATGCCTCAGTGACAAGCGTCAGCAAGCGCGAAATTCAAGACGATCTGTTTCAATAATCCAATTGTTTTGTCTGTTTTTTTTACCCGTTATATTTTCTAATTTAATCCGTGTTTTTTTTCTAAATGTCTCCTAATAATTTATTTTAACAGATTTTGACAGAACGTGGTGAATTCGCTGAAAGTGATAAAGTCTTTGCTGATCTGATCTCTCTTGCACCAGATTCAGGCTTGGCCTATGCTCATCGTGGCCTGTTACAACTTCGATGGAAACAAGATCGTGATGCAGCATATCGCTTCTTTTTAGAAGGTACTAAAAAAGATCCAAAGTGTGAATTAATCCATGAGCTGCTGGGTCAGTTGGCTGTTGAAAAAGGTCAATTCAATGAAGCGCTGAAACATTTTGATATTGCTGTTAAACAGGCTAAAACACAAAATGATTTAGCGCATTTAGTTGCCTTACGTGAAGGTGTCAATGCTCAATTGAAAGTATGCGAAAAATATAAAATATCTATACCAGATGTAGTCGCCAGTATACAACAAGAACAACAAAGATTTCTAATGGGTATGCAAGGTGGAAGTGTATAGAAAAGAGAAAAAATAAACAAGGACTGTCTTTACTCTCCTTCTTTGTTATTTTAAACTCCTCATATTGTTGTTGGTTGCTTAGTTGTTACTAGGCCCTTTTCTCATTTTCATCTTTTCTCTCAAGTTTGGTTTGTGTTTGTAGAAAAAAAAGGAAAAAAGACAATCATTCCATTACAGTATGTTTCCTCTGTACGGTGTGTCTCTCTGAGAGTCTTTTTTTTCGCCTGCTTTGTTCATCCTGTTCCACATGATTTCATTGTGCTCCACCACCATCTCATTTTTAAGTATATTCATCATCGAATACTCGAAGCCAAACCCAGGGAAGTAGTCATTCAACCGCAGGAGCAGCAGTAATAACTATTGGTGCTCATTCCCCTAGTATGTCATCCATGTGTACAGCCTGCGTGTGTGAATGTGTGTGTTGACGGTTGTGTATTTTACTTCTTATCTCATTCTCTGTGTTCTCTCGTCTTACAGTCATGTAATATTTACTTGAATCTTTTTTTAAAGAAGTCTTTTCCTGTAACTCCTAGAACTCATGTAGTGAACCTATTCCACCCACAAAGGGGGGGGGATAATCATATGTAACTAAGTTATAAAACATTTAACAGTATATTTTAATAGTTATTTAAATATTATCCATTAACTTGGTGTACTACTCTTGTCCATTGTTCATATTACTTATTTGATGATTGTATAACTGTTCCGAAAAGACAAAAAATAGCACCAAGATTTATGAGGAATTGGCGAATGCAGTAACTGACCCATTACTCACTCTTAATTACTTACTGGACGGATGGATGGAATTCCACAGATAATATATAGGCATAATCTCTCTCTCTATCTTTATCCGATGTGTGTTGATGGGTGTTTTTGTTGTTGTTTGTTTCGTTGGTTTTCCCCACTTTCGTTCTTCACACCATCATCATCAAAGAAGGTATTTGAGTAGAAGACGGAAGTGTGTGGAAATGTATTTATATACCTCTATCTCTCTCTCTAGCCTAAAAATTAAAACAAAAATTTATGAGATTCCTTCTTTTTAAAGCTAAACTTTACCCCGTAATAAATTTTGATTTTTTAGTTTATGGGATCTTTTTGTAAGCTTTTGGATTGATTTCATTTGTCAGACTTTGTCATGAATTAACTCATCATTGAAGACCACCAGGGAACACTGTTTTGTCCTAGTTCGGGAATTTTCAGCAGTATGCACGCATGACCCCCACCTACCTGCGACTGAACCCAAAACCGTGAAGTTATAAGACTAAATTCGTTGATCATTCAGCTATTTAGGCCACCTAGAGGTTCGGGCTTCGATCACTGATGAGGTCGTGATTGTGAACTAATGAAGAAATCCAAAGTACGATGGAATCTTGAGATTTCATTTTCATCATATAATGACTTAAGGGATTTTGTCAAGGACAGTTTTCCCGATCCCGATATTTCGACGTATTCTGTTAAAAGCTTCGGTTTTTTAACTATCTTCATCAACGCAGTACGCTGTTACTTAGTTTGATGTGTCCATTGACCTTAACGCATGACTCGTGGCTAATCGGTCCACCTATTTCAGTTTGCTTAGTATCTCCCGATGCTTGATACCTGTAGAACCTGTTCAAAGCAACTCTATTTTAGCTGTCTACTGGAAAGTTACATTTCAGAGAGAAAAACAAGTATTATATCTAGGTTACTGAAGCGTCAATCTTATGGAAAAGCTGTGTTAACAGCGACCTTTCATGGTGATGGAAGTGATAATCGGGAAACCTTTGTGTGCTTATCGTAGTGTATATGCGGGCGGTTAGTACTTACACCAGGGAAGTTGACTACTTCTTAGTGTACGAGAAACAGAAGGAAATATACCATTACGTTACATCTAGTATTTTGTCTGCCAGCTCACTTAGTGCGTCTAGGTCGACCGATTTGGAGGAGATAGTCAAAACCTGTTGGATATGTCGTGGCAGCCGTTGCAACCACATCTGGCGTAAAACCACTTCGTCAACTTTGTGTGGATTAAGCAGTTGACGCATGTGCCTGAGGAGCTGAGATGTAGTCCGTGAGCCTAACTCGCATGCAGTAAGTAACTGTTGGATCCGTTTCTCATCTGATGCACTCCTTCTTTGAATCAAAACTGCTTTGATCCTATCATACTGGTGGTCTGCAGGGGCGCTGTCAATTAAATCACTAATGTCCGCTAGAACCTCTGTGGGCAGTGCGGCTAAAACACATCCATACTTCGCGAGCTGTGACTTGATTCCGCGGGTAGCTAAGAGGGGTTCGATGATGGCGAACCAAATCCGTGGCTCAGTGAAACCGAATGGCGGTAGACGCAGATCGACTATTGCGTTGATTGATGAGTCTTGTGCCTCCTTAGTCTCCGTTGCAGCAGGTGAACGTGTAGATGAGGACATGATTATTATGCGAATATACAGGTACACAGATATGAATATATAGAATGTGCAGTCAAAAATAATAACAATAAAAATATAGAGTTTCTATAAAGCTAAGATGTTCAAACGGGCTCACCAATTAATTTGTAGGGGACTGGCTAGAGCAAGTTCATTAACATAACAAATATGAGAATAAAAATCCAAGTCAATGAGAGTACAATGCAACAATATATTATCAAAGTGCAGTAATGAGTAATATTAATTAATAGGTTACTTGGATATGTTGTTAAAGTACACTGCTACAAATTATTTATACAATCCACAGAAGCGTTGACTTTTGGAATCGTGTCTACTGATAGAAGCTGTGTTCCGGTTGTAGAGTTGTCTTCGGATAAGGATTATAAGTTCATGCAATAAATCCAAAGTATACAACACGGTTTGAGTGGAGTGAGTAGACAGAAATGGCCAGAGAGAAGGCGAAGCTACCAACAGTATATTGTATTTCAAATTGCACTCGGAAGTTATATGTATTTAAACATAAATCGTTTTAAACAAGAGTCATGTACAATGTTTCTAATTTCAACATCTAACCAAAAAGTGTACAATCATGTGGTTACGTAACCCACAGTTGTGGCTAATCGATAAACAGCATATATTTGAGTGAGTGCTGTGCCGCCACTTGATTAAAAGCTATTTCAGGAAGAGGAGAACGTTCTGGGAAATTGCGAAATGGTATAAAATACAATTATGTATAATGCATCATTGGAAGTACATTTACACGATGAATACAAGGAGGAGCCATAGGGTCCTTGAAATGATAGTATACATTTGTAATGTTTAATGCAAACCATATTGGTCTCACCATGGAAGCTATGACGTTTTCGATGAAAATATAGCTTTGTTCAAACATTGGTGTTGTCGTATTTTTAATCAAAGCAACCAGAATGCAAGCAAGCAACAAATATGAAAAAAGAGTAAGTTTTAGCTTTAATAAAGGCCGAGGTAGTCAAGATAAAATAGAGTATAATAGTGCGTAAATAAAAAGATTATCGTGAGGTAGATAAGTGATATTTCAGTGAAAAGTGAATTCAAAGATCTGGAAGATTAGAACCCGTAGGACAAGTTGACCTGTAAGATGTCTCACGAATTTGTGTAGAGCCCATGGGGTAGCATCTTGACAAGAAGCTAAACAGGCTTGTAGATGTTAGGAACAAAACCACTTTTTTATAATTTAGATCTGTACAACTCTTATTTTCTTGTTAAGGATCCAGACAAATGTTTAATTCCCGAGCTGTCAAAAATTGCATGATCCTGTCCTACAGATCGGAGCGATTTACATTTGTGACCACTGCCATATCTGCCGATCAGAATGCGCCACCCTCCCTCCTTTTTTATGTTAAGCTCAGGGATTTTTTTGACAATAACTGTAGTTGCAGCATTGCATTGCTTTTAGCCCGTCCCATTCATACAGTACACTGCACATTAATAACTTTCATGAAAAATGCTCCCGCTTAAGTCACCAGATACATCGATACCTGAGGACAGTCTTAGCAGTATCACCTTTATACATGCATACATGTATTTAGGTATTTGTTACAAACGACTAGAAAATAGAATCTACTCTAAGAAGTATAAAGTATAGAAGTAGCTAGTATTACAGCAACTAAGTTATAGTCTATTTAGCAGAGTGAAATGGGTAGTGGAACAATTAGTGACAAAGTTGTGTTGAATGATCCTGAAGAAAACAGCTGGTTAACAGAACTAGTTGTGCTGCTGGAAAGTGATTTCGATACAAAAAAATAGCAGTATGTCAATATATATATGATATTAAAAGGTGTAGTTGCTAATATAATTGTTTCTAGAATTACTTATACTAACACAACTTACTGAAGATTGAGGAAAACAGAAAATCAGTTAAGTGCATCGGTGGCATAAGAGTTAGGACGCTCGCCAACCATGCACATGGTCCGGGGTTCGATCACCGGTCGACGCACTCCTTTACCTCGCTAAGCGAGAAATAACGCTAGTGAAGAGCAAAGGTTGGGCATGAGGCTAGCAACCCCATCCTGTAAAATAAGCACTGCTACAGAAACTTCAAGCCACTAGATTGAAGCCCTATGTCTCACTGTGGAACGTGAAGGGATTTAAAAAAAAACTAGTTAAACGTTCGCTGCGTAAGTAGTACGATTGGTCACTGGTAGACATTTTGTTTGCACAACTTTTGTGTACCAAAAAGTCGGCCTAAAATAATTCCTTTAGCTTTTATTAGCCCTTTATCTCACTTTCTGATATTCCTTTTTTTCTCTCGATAGGCTTTTTAAAGGTCGTTTTATTGAATCTGCATTTAACAAACATTAATTAATAAAGTTCAGATTTATCAGACAATAAAGACCAAGGTCAAATGGTAGGTCAACGAAATCAGTCAACATAAATATATATTGAAGTGAACATGAAGATAATAAAAATCCTTGAAGACAAACAACCAGTCACAGTTAGAAAAGTCAGAGAAGATGACTATTACATTAAGAACGGAGAATTCAGTAAAGAGACTCTTTCCCACGAAATGATTATCAAGCTGTACAACTATGTATATATGTGGTGAGAGATGGCTGCTAGCCAAAGTGGTAGACAGTAATTGACGTCAATGTTTATGTCTCAAATATTAGTCATGTGAAAACAAGGTCAAAGATGGACAGCAGACTTTGCGTAGGCGGATACAATTAGCAGATAGATGATCTGACCCTCAAGACACAGCAACAAAGAGATGAGAGATTAACTTTTAGTGAGAAACAACTGATAGGATCCCATGCACTTTGTTATTGTTCAATTATCTTAACGACTGTCAATCTCGCATAAGTGGTATATCATCATTTCCCACGCATTTTGTTATTGACTATTATGACCAATTATTTCAAATACTGTTAGCTGTCTGTATTGTTGTAAAAATGTATAAATACCATTTCCGAAATAAGTTTCTTTGTCGTAGTTGTTGTACTACAATACACAGTCACAGACCAGCTTTTATCTTTTGATATTTGCGTGGTTCACTGAATCGGAAGGTACCAGAAGCAGATAGGCATATTAGTCAGGCGCAGACAGAACAAGGCGACAACGTCCTCATTTAATTCTCTACAGTTTTAACAACAACCAATCAGGAAACTGTGTTTGTCAGCTATCAATTATCTATAATAACGTACACGAAAATCTATAAATATGTGTTGATTTCATTAATAAACAATCTGTTGCCTGACTCTTGCCTTCTGTCATTATATGTATATATATAACATAACTGTACTGCTTGATAATAAATTCGTTGAAAAGAGTTTTTCGCTGAGTATTGTATTCTTAATGCTAGAGTAGAAATTATTAGATTATGACATTGAGAATTCCTAGAATCTCATTTCCCTTTGAAGTTGTTGGCTATAAAGACAGTCAGATGTACACAGTTAAATCACATAGCTCGGGGAACCTAACAGCCCACAGAAAGCATTCACTTGACACGCAAATCTCCTCTACTATTTCGTTATTGTTACTGTAACCTTGAGGGCAGTTATTTCCATTGTAATATATTAACATGCACCAATTCCAGTGTCTAATTCATAGACATTCTTATTGGGCTTCACTTAATGGCCGTAGGAGTGGCTTTGTATATAAATTACTCACTTATTATTGCTACTGGTCACTAGTGACTGACTACGGGATGCAGTTGCCTGGAGTTATAGTAAGCAGTTGTAACAGACGCGCTGTATATCGCGAAATGACAGAAGTTAAAATTC